GGGCTTCGGTTGTGAATTTTCGATTCGAGCTCTATATCTCTCGATATTTACGAAAAACTGTTAGCGGCGGCCATCTTGTGTCGTCTTGCTCGTGTATTGACACCACTCTGGCCGAATATTGCAAATATCTCCGCAATAACTGCGAAACGGATATTTCTACAACCGAAGTCCAGTCGTTTAGTCTTTTCGGAATCTAAATTTTCCACTTGTGAACTGCACACTTCGATATTAAAGCGTCAGTTTTGGTTGATAGAAACCTCTAAAACTAATATACGTATATGGTTTTCTTCTATGTGTGGGTCGTCATAGTGTGCGGCGACCCGGGCCCTTAATCTCCATTTGATCTAGGACACCCTTTTTTTATTTATTCATATATTTAAAAATACATTAATATATGTATTATGGTACACGTTTTTACAATTGGTAGTGTATATCAAATCATGTATATAAAATACATTACACATGTATTTTGTATATACGTATGTAGGGTTGCTAGCGTTTCATCTGAATACTAATTTTCCAGCAGCCAGTTTAAATTGGTAGACTACGAATGCGAAACAGTAGAAACAATGAAGAAATTCAAAAATACCGTCGCATTGAAATGATTAATTCCTATTTTTGGATAAAATGAAGGAAACAGCTGGCTGTTGTTCCTCGATCGTTAATAATTTTTTACAAGTGAAAGAAAATTTATTTTCTGTTCACTTTTGTTCCAGTGGCTAAAATTTAACCGCTAAGAGTATCGCTAACGAAAAAGTATAATCTCAGAGAGATTTCATTAGCAGAATAGATAATAATCATATTTAATGAGGCAAGATCGACGTCGATCTACGTCGATCGCAACCAGACTCACCCTGGTCCAGGCGCAAAGTTTCAAAATTTACATTGTGCAAAACAAATTTGTCGAAACAGGATTATGGATCGTAAAGGGACTCGGACAGAAAATCTATAGAGTTAGAATGTTTTAATCCGGATACAAGGACCGGGACAAAGGTCATCGTATAATAGTTCGAAAACGGTCGTTAACTAATTTAAAACATTCCCGAAGTCAGGCGAAGTTAATCCGTTACGATGTAGTAGAGTTTTCCATTTCAGGTAACGTCTATCTCATTAGTCGACTCGTCGTAAAAATGAGGATCCCGGTCTCGTGTGCAATAAAAATTAAATGGTATTCCTGCGAAGGTTTCTCACATTTCCCTGTAAAAAGCGTAGTTAGTCCCTAGTAAATTGCATTAGTGTACCTGTGACTCGAGTCAACGCGCACTTTCGTGAACGACCCTGCTCGGCCTTTATTCTGTATGCAGAAGAACCCGGAAGTTTTCCGCAATAATCATTGTCTCCTTTGTCGATTGTGTTTCGTCTTGATATATTGCCCTCGCGCGACTCAACTCATATCTCACTTGGGCTGCCCTCCCCACAACTAAAAAAAGAGCCATATTTATTCCTAGATATGGCTATGACACTAAAATACTCTCTCGATGTTTTCGAGTGAAAGGAACTTTTGGGGGAAAGGAATTCTTATGAATTGTTATGGGCGATGGACAACGGCGAAGCGGAGGACAGAAAAATATAGAAATCTGGAGGACAAGAATCCTCAAACAAATAGCATGCAAACGCTTTCGGGCCTCAACTCTTTACCGAACAGCTTAGTAATCGGACACCGAGAGATCTGTTCCCGAAAGTTCTGTCCTCCGGCTGCAGCTTTTCTCGCTTAGGTTTGCGGGGCACTGTTGTTTTGTGAAGCGGAGGTTGTCACTGGATTTTTGTGCGATTTATTCATTGCGATACAGGGCGCTCTGTTTCTAACTCGGAACGGTGTGTGAGAAATTTTGGACTGGGCAAAATCGGTATCATATTTTAAACCTGGAATGTTATTTTTTCATTGAACTTTGTTAGGAGACTTATCTCGGATCAATTATGGAGCTGTTGGCATGCAGTTTGCCTTCGTAACAGTTTTGTTCAGTGCATTGAGGCGGTAATAATGATTCCATAGCAAATTCGTACATAAATTTAAAAAAGGAACAATTTATGTTTTTCAACCCTTAAATACAGTACTCTAGGTTGTTAACACGGTAACGAATTAGTAAAAGGACAACAATTTCCTCAATTTTAAACAGCAAGGATGTTTTGTTGACGTCAGAAGATTTTCATTATTCAAAGTATCAAATTTTGCCAAATTTTATGATTTTTAACACTTGATTACAGTATTGCAAGTTAGTAAAGTTAAATTGTTGATTTCGAAGAACCGGCATGTCATCTTCGTAGAAAGATTTTCAATATTCAAAGAATCAAATTTTTCCCAGTTTTAGGACTTTCGACCCTTAATTACAGTGCTGCGAGTTATTGATGTTGAATATAAATTTCTTTAATTTTAAAAGGCAAACGTCTTTTTTGAAGATATCCAAGGAAGCAATTTACGTTCTACATCCATCAACCCCAATACACAACGCACGGTCACAACAGCCGAGTTTCCTCCCAGGAAACAACTTTTCTCATCGAGATCCGCAGAGAACGGATCTTTGTATCGAATAAGACGTATCGGTAAGGTTGTTTCCGTAAAAAGGTATTCACGCGAAAGGGAAAGCACAGGGTTGAATGCAGTAGCCAGTGAAAAGAGAGCACTCGGCCAAGCAATATAATTTCATTCTGAAAGATCGGACCAAAGGCGTGTCCACCAGCGATGCTGTAAGCGAGATACGAAAGCCTTGAGGAAGAAAAAGGGTTCCCGCGGAAAAAATAGGCGTGCGCAGGAACACCGGAAATAAGCAAATCTCGAAAGTCTGTTGGCAAAACTTGCCCGGTGGTCCAGCCGCAAGATAAATCGAAAAGTAATTGCTCTTGGTGACACACGGACGTCTTAATGTGCCGTCGGCCATTGCGTCTCTCTTTTTTCTGTAAACGTTCTGGCCAACCACGGCGTCGGATTCTATTAGGAGGGACTAATGTCGGTCCTGGGGCGACTAAATGCTGTGGACCGCCCGCCATAAATCCTCATAAATCATGGCGTCATAGATAAATAATTTGTATGCACCGGAAACATCGATTTTTCTCAATCAATCTTCCCAGCATATTTCCAACCATGATTCGATTGATTTTAGAAAGTTTCAGTTGTTCTGGATTTCTCTTCGACTAATTTCCTATAAAATGAAATTGTGCTCGTCATTCGAGGGAAATAATATACAAAAAGAAAAATATATGTATAGAACTATAGAAATTTAAAATGAAGAACACATCGGAAGGAATTAATTTGAACAGTAAACTGTCACCGATTGTCCCCCAGCTTGTAAACAGACATGAGCAATTTGGGAAGGAGAGGTACGATTACAA